TCTTGTCTGACTATGTAGCGTCTTACCCTTAACAAATTTATTCATTTTAAAATACAAATATACGATCAAGCTTGATATTAATAATTAACAACTATGAACATTATAACAAGATAACAAAACAATAAAACACAACTTAACTATCAAATATACGAAAAATATAGAAATAAAGTTTAGGATAACCGGTATAAAATAATGAAATAAAGTAATAATGATCAAAAAAATGACACCGCCACTGGATATTTCAATAGTATTCAATATTCCTACTCTTTTCAGAAGAGACCCTGAAGTTGGGGATAAAGCAAGCGAATAGGAAAGGCGTAAAAGCCATGGCAACCGCGTGGTAACAAATCCTGTGACGTACTCTCGCCAATCATGTTCGATGAATAGGCGGCCATGCGCGGCGATGCCGGTTTGCCAAAGATATCGTTGAAAAATCTTCAACTTTCATAATAAGCAGATTATACAGAATGAAAGAAATAAGTTATTAAATAAAACATATCGAACAATATGAACTACGTTAAAATTCCTTAGTAATATACGTCAGAATATATGCTAAACACATTATATATAATAAAAATATATTAAATTTATAGTTCATGTCTGGCAATTTTGCAATTTTATAGATAAACGTGGCAATGTCGATTTTTTTTTCTCGCATTCCTTCCGTAGCTTCAGATCCGCTGGTCAAACAGTAGGAACTATACTTTAGGGGCAGTGACATTTTAAAAAGGACTGAGAACTATATTTGCTAGTTGGGTGGATATCGTCGAACAATACAATTATGCCACCTAACTTTTCGCCGTTACCATGAATTTGGAAATAACTGGTAGGTATACGTGGCGAAATAAAAGTATACAAAATTTACCTATCTTTTAAAAATGGGCAATTTTTCAATTTTTTAAATTTTATTATAGACCAGCAGATTAAATCATATTTGGTTGTCTACTTTTTTTGATCGCAATGGTACCTAGATGATAAAATTAGTTTCAAATTCCTTGCTTTTTTAACATATTCCACAGGGTGTTCCAAACTCAGCAAATTAACAACATTTTTTGTTCCCTCGTATAATTGACAGATGGGAACTTTCATTTTTAATTTAGAAGGAGATATTAAAAAGTTAAATAATTTAGCTACAAATTGGCTAAAACATAATCAAAATCGGTTCGTCAGAACACAATATATAAAACTTTAAGCAAACTTTAAGATATATCAAAATTTAAGGAGCCCGTTTTTTAAAAACTCAAATTCCTCAGTTGACTTATAGAAGGTGTATGGTCCGAAAAAATGCTCAAAAAAAGTCTCAAAAATTGCTCGCCCTAGAAACCATCATAGGCGGCTGAAAGAGGAGCCTATAATATACAGGGTGGCCCATCTAAAACGTTCCGCAAGGCATAACAGCCCGGATATGTTTTCTCACAAAAAATCCAAAAACACGTCAATTTTGTTTGTGAGGGGGACAACTTTTGCCCCAAAAATGATTGCAAAATCTTCAACCCTCTAAGCGGGGGTGTCATCCCCCAACTTTTTTCAAATGGGAAGGGGACCAAGTGGCGCCGCAATGAAAAGAGCTTTCTATTCTCTATATTTCCCCGCTTCGTTTTTGAAAATCGGTCGAGTCATTGAGAAAATATGAAGGATTGAAATTTGAAAAGTTTGTCCCCCTCACAAACACAATTGACGAGTTTTTGGATTTTCTGAAAAAAAAATTACCCTGGCCGTTATGCCTTGCGGAACGTTTTCGATGGGCCACCCTGTATAGGTTTAATATTTATTGAATAAAAAAACTAAGGAAGGTATATAAAAAAAATTGGCGCCGGGAGGTACGTATAGTCGCCCATACTAAAATATGTTAATATCTCGAAAACTGCGACTTTGACTGATTTTGATGTTATTACAAATTTTGTTGCAAATATTATTCCTAATCTTAATTTGAAAACCGCGTTTCGCTAGCTACTGTAATTTTGGAGTTACGATTTTTTAAAATTTTTAACCCCCTCCCATACCCCCTTACCAGCCCCCCACCCCCACCAAAAACTAATGGCCAGATTCTCGGGTGCCACAATATTTTTGTGCCAAATTTGGTTAAAATCGGTTCAGCGTTATCGTGTTACAGACGGACAGACGGACAGACGGACAGACGGACAGACGGACAGACGGACAGACAGACAGACAGACAGACACCATGAAAATATTTTGTATTTAGGTCATTTATGGCCCAAGCAACTCATTTTGAGTGAAATTAAAAAAAACTTTTTTTTTGCCGATCCTAATAGGCTACCATACCTTTTGGTATGGTCGGCTAAAAAGGTAGGGCTGCGAAGGAGTCTATATGGCTGACTTATTTATAATTTCGATTAATCAGTGGCGTACATTTTTTTTAATTTGTTAAAGAGCCGTACGGTCAATAAACGTGCTAGTTTTGTTTTAATTTGAGTAAAAAAATAATAATTGATACTGATTGAAAAATATAATTCTAATAAAAATTTATATGTTAATGTAGTTATTTAATAACAAAAATATAGATACGCTACTGGAACAACGAATGAAAATTCATAAAACTTACATATCATACTTATTTTTGACTAATAATAATAATAAGTGCGAGAATGAAATTAATAAGTGCGAGAATGAAACACAACAATAATTACTGTTAACTCTAAAGTAATTCTTCGAAATATAATAAATTGTTTTTTTTCTGTTTCATTATTTTTCATGTTTTTCGTTTGGTAACGATAGCACGCTGTACAAATATTTGAAAAGTTGCATTTTATTATTAATTAAGTAATAATAATATGACCGTTGTAATTTAGACCTAAGAGACTTAAGACCGTTGTAATTATTTAATCATTCAATGACTTTTCCAATTCACACACTTTGTATCAAACCAATCCTGAAATAAAAAAAATATCAACGACATATTGGAAATTATACACATAAAATTTATCTTTTATGCATTTTTAATGTACTTATTCTCCGCTTTTACGTTTGCTTCTTCTTTTCAATAGAGTTTAATATTGAAAAACCAGACCTTATTAATAAACTGTTAAACTCGTTAGACAGCTCAAGTGAAGATTTGCAGGTCCAATATATTAAAACAGATCAATAATAAATAAACAAATCTAATCAATATTTAAATTTTTATAGCTTATAAAACATTCACTTGTTGTCTTGTTTTTCATGTTTTCTTTAAATGTTCCTGACTTTAAGAAACAATGGCTGCATGATAAGTTTAAATGGCCCTAAAAGTCATTCTATTTAGTTAATGAAATTTATTTACCTTTACTGCCTGCTTACCTCCATTGCTATTTTTTATTTTTTTGTAAGGAGGTGAAATGCAATTTACGCACGAAGTGTCAGGCTCTTAATAAATACCGACTAAAACACCTCCTTTTACGTCTTGGACTCTAGTTCGGGACCGTTTAGCACATTACTTCGAGACTAGTCCGTTTTTTATCGCCCTCGGGCTCGCTTCTGTTTATGGTATCAGCGGTTATCCAGGTCGCTTTTCTTTTCCCTTAGTATCTTTTCCACATACTTTGATATGCGGTTCCAGTTTTCAGGGCTTTGATGCATTTTTTGGACGATGTTATAAGGGGATAGTTGTCCTTCAATTTCTTCTTCGATATTCCTTCTGTATACGCTCCACCTCTCGCATGTAAAAAAGGTATGTTCTGCGTCGTCATAACATTCGCAGTAAAGGCATACTGGTGATGTTACCTTTCTCATTTTTTTCAAGATACGATAAAAAATACCCGTGGCCGCTAAGAAACTGGGTCAAGTAATAATTTATTTCCCCGTGTTCCCTTTGTGTCCAGGTTTTCACCGATTTAATAAGTCGCGCTGTCCAGCGACCCCTACTCTCCTGTTCCCACAATCTCTGCCATGCTTCATAAGTTCTGTTGATTTCCTCCTTTTTAACTTCTTTTTGGTTCAATTCGGTTTTTCTTTGGTATATTACATACCGTTCTCTGGCAAGTAGAGCTGTAGATGCTATCCCTGCGATAACCAGCACTGCAGATTCGGAAACTGTGCGGTAAGATGAAGCTACTCTGAGTGCTGCCTGTCTCTGCACTTGGGCCAAAGGTTTTCTATATTTTTCCTTCGATAGAGCTACTGCCCAAATCTCAGTGCCATATAGAAGAACCCATTGAACAGTCGACATCAATAATCGCCGTTTACTTGACTTGGGTCCACTCGTGCTGGCCATAAGTCTACTCAGTGCTGTGACACCTTTAGCGGCCTTGCCTGCGGTTATTTTTATCTGTTCCCAGAAGGTCATTTTATTGTCTATGGTGATGCCAAGATATTTTACTGCTGGTTTCGATGTAACTATCTCTCCCCCTACGTGGAATGGGAGCACTGTGTTTATTCTGATTTTTGTGAGAACCACAATTCCTGTTTTCATAAGAGCCAATGATAGTCCATGGTTCGTCATCCAGTTATTAATAGTTAGCATCACACTCCTTAATTTGATTTGGGCCATCTCCATATCTCTAGCTGCGATAAGTGCGGCGACGTCATCGGCGTATCCGACCAATACTGTTTCCTCGGGCATATTTGTTCTCAATAGGCCATCGTAAGACGCATTCCATAGATCCGGACCAAGGATTGATCCTTGTGCAGCCCCCGATGTTATCGTCTTCCTTCTTCTATCGTCTACCTCCATTGCTTTTGGATGTAAATACAAAATATTATTAGAAATTAAATGAGAATTTCACTCGAATTTCCAATATTTGCTTGATTTCTGTCACATAAATGACATTGATTGACAAACAAAACCAGAAATACCAGCCTTCTCGCGCTGGTTAGTTTGGTGACAGTTATAACCGAATTTTCCAGGAACCGTGTTCCGTAATAAGAAAAATTTCAAGAAACCGATAGAAACGGAACATAAAACCATAACCAAGCTAAGCAACGGAATACACCCTAAAAATTTAATTGATATGAAATATACTTACAGTTTAATTATTAATTTTTATACAACTAAAAACTTAATGAAAATAGAGTTAAATATAAAAGAAATATAACAATTTAATAAAACGAAAAATATTCCGTTGCGTTTTTTGCGTCTGAGTGTATAAAACAATCACAGCAAAACGTAACAAACTCGCAAAAAATTCAACTATTCAATTTTCCGTCAAACAAAACTGACGGAATAGACGTCAAAATGGTTACAATGACGTCGCTCCCGTCTTAAATGCAAAAATATAAAAATAGTATTAAGACTCCTTCCTTAGTCATTTTATTCAATGTTTATATTAATTATAGTCTTATTTTGTCTAATACTAATTTTATTTTAGGAAGCGACGTACTAGTTTACGGAGAAGTTCGAGAAATTCCAATACAACAAAGTCCAGTAAAAAGAATGGTAAAAGCACAATAAAAATAAAATCGGAACCACTAGACATGAAACTACCTAAAAAACGAACGAACGATATTACGAAAGAATGTCTTAATAAATCAAGTAAAAAGGACAATAATAATTTGTGTTCCAAACGCAAGCCAAAAGATAAATCTCACGCGTGGACATGCAAATATTGCAAAGAAATATATAAGACACAGAGGGAACTTAAAGTTCATAGAGCATCTCATAAACCTCCTCCTCAAGACCAAGACGCAGAAGAACCGTCTTTTATATTCGACGAAATTCAAGACCTGTATATTTGTTCGGTGTGCTCGGCAGAATTTCAAGAAAAAATGGAGGTCGAAGACCATATTACAGTTCATCAGGAGAGACATAATTGTTCTGAATGTGAGGAAAGTTTCAAGAATTTATTTGATTTGGGAATTCACTCTACTCAACACGATCCAGAACAGAAAATACATTGTCCTTTGTGTTCCTATGTATGTTCCAATCCCAATCCGTATAGTTTTAAATCTCACCTTAATTACGTCCACCTGAAAAAGTTTCCGTTTTATTGTAAGATATGCGCGCAAGCTTTTAAACATTACAAGCCATTCGAAGAACACCAGAATACCCATACTGGAACGAAGCCCTACGAGTGCGTGGTTTGCCAAAAGAAATTTACGTATAGAAAATATTTGCAGGTGCATCAAGTAAGAAACCACCAGGTCGGCACCACGGGAAGCAGAATCGAGAATGAATGTCGCAAGTGTAATCGTTATTTTTACAAACCGGAAGCTCTACAGGAACATACCTGTTACAAGAAGAAAAAAGGTAAGAGTGTTTGCTTTCTATGCGAGACTTGCGGTCAAACTTTTACCGAGAAAGCTAAACTCTTGGAACATCTGCGGGTGCATAAAGGGGACCTGCCATTTGTGTGCACGTGGTGCGGCAAAAAATTCCCAGTTAAGTCCTACCTGAAGACACACGAACGCGTTCATACTGGGGAAAAGCCTTACTCTTGCGAGTTTTGCGGTAAAAGATTTGGGCATCATGCCCCTTTCAGAGTTCACAGGAGAACGCATACTGGCGAAAGGCCGTACGTTTGTAATTTTTGCAATAAAGGCTTTACTACTAATCAGGGACTAAAGTTTCACAAAAGAAACTGTCCTCCCAACCTATTTAAGGTAGAGGATGGATTTACTCCCAGTATACCACCCACCGTAATAGTACAAGGTCATCCTGGGGAGGAGATTTTTGGAATTTGAATTGAATCAATTGATTAGGTGTAAAGTTTTGGCCAGCTTTTTGGCAAAAAATAGCTTAAGAAAAACGTTTATTAGAAGAAACCGATTTAATCAACGGAAATAGTTTATTGATTTTTATTGCTAACAAATGCATGGTGAGAAAAGTTGACCTACATCTTGTGAAGATCTATACAGGGTTCCTCACCACATACGACACGGAGTATTGTAGTTAAACGATTAGATTTTTACACATTTAAGTTTTGGGTTCGTTGAAGGACTGTTAGAGCTACAATTTAAAAATAATTTTACAAGATATAGAGTGTCCCAAATAAGTAAAAAATATTATAGTTATTTTTTTTTAAATCGAACAACTCTATATATTATTGTATTTTTAGATTCTACGATTGAAATAAAGGTAAATTTGATTATGGTTATCACACTTTAACCTTACCGTTTTTGAAATATTTTCAATATTGTGATACTGCAGTAAAAATTTTAAGGCTTCATTTCTCCAAGGGTATCAAAGTTTTTAATACTAAATATTTACTGAAGATTATATATTGATTAGATATTGTGTTGCCATAATAAAAATTATACTACCTTATACAGTGTCCAAAAATTGTAACACCCTGTATTTTTTACGTGAATCAGATGCACAATTTAATTGTCAATAAAATGGTATTATACCATTTTTTACTTATCTCTTCAAGTTTTCGTAGAAAATGCATTTTCTTATAATTTAGTCCTCATTTATCACTATACCCATGGAATATTGACATTTTAGATTTTTTTTAAAGCAACATATGTATAAAATGTATAGGTGGTAAAATAATAATATTGCAAGGCCCATTCGTTTACAAAAAGAAAACTATTTAAATCTTTCTGAAAGAGTATACCAAGTAAACATACCACCATTATTTCCGCCCAAAAATTAGTTAATTACATACTTAATTGTTTTAATTAATACATTATTCTAAATAAATGTGGATTTGACTCAGAAATCAATATATTAATAAGTTATGAAAATGAACGTCTTTATTGTTATAAAAAAGCATTCGTCAAAAAATTAAATAAAATTTGTAAGGTGTTACTTTTTACCACACTGTCTAATACACATACAAAATTCAGTTGTTTAGTATTTGGAACAATTATTATTAATCAGCGTAAACAGTCAATTAATGTAGTTTGAATACTCGGATCATATTAATTGGTCCTCTTTAACAAAAAACTATTTAAACAGGTTTTTTTTAATGAAATAAACGAACTATATCGGCAATATTAGTATCTGTACTCTTTGAAAATTTGTTACATCTTTAAAAATAATCTAAAACGTCAATATTCCATGGGTATAGTGATAAATAGAGTCTAAATTATAAAAAATGCGTAAACTACGAAAAAACTCTACGAAAACTTGTACGATAGGTAAACAAATGGTATAATACAATTTCACAGACAATTAAATTGTGTATCTGATCCTCGTAAAATATACAGGGTGTTGCATTTAAATTAAACAAGTTATTGCCGTTTAAAGCTCGTAATTTAATATAAATTTTTAGACACTCTGTATAAGGTAGTATTTTGTTTATTATTGCAACTCAATATCTGATCAATAAATAAACTACAGTAAATATATTATTATTAAAACTTCGATACACTTAGAGAAATGAAGCCTTACAATTTTTACTGCAATTTCACAAAATTGAAAATATTTCAAAAACGGTAACGTTTAAGTGTGATAAACCTCAATCAAATTTACCTTTATTTCAATCGTAGAATCTAAAAATAGAATAATATATAGGGTGTTCCATTTAAAAAAATACAACTATAATATATTTTTGCTTATTTGGGACATTCCGTAATTCGTAAAAATATTTTTAAATTGTAGATCTAATAGTCCTTCAACAAACCCAAAACTTACAATTTGTAAAAATCTAATCGTTTAGCTACAATACTCCATGTCGTATCCCTATATATTTATAAAAAAAATGTATTCTTAAAGTTTTGAGGTAAAATACCTGCTCATCTTGATTCTTTCCGACATAACAGATGAATACTTAATTTTTATTTTGATACAGATTTTTTATGAGACTCAATCTTTTTTGACATCTTTTTTTATTTCTACATGCGGCATTTCTCCAGTAAACGTACTGTCCGTGAAACATTGAGAATTTGAATGTTTCGTATAACTACTGTCTCATAGCCTAGTTCAGACACGGCTAGTAATTTAGTCGAGTAGCGAGTAATTTGGTAATTTAGTGCGTGCGGACAGTACAAATTAGTAGAGTAGTTTAGTGTAGTAGTTTAGTCGGCTGGATCCATCCGATTCTATTTTGATGGTCGAGTAGAGTCCCCCACCACTAACTACTAAATTGCCACTAAAACAAGTATGAACACGAGTGTTTAGTTCATTGTTTAGTTAAGTAGGTCTGTATTCTGCAGGATCTTCTAATTGCAACTCTTGTAAAATACTATTTGATGATCCATTTTCTGACCCATAAACGCATTCTTTCAAAATAATATTTATTATGTTTTTTATAACCTTATTTAATTCCGTACGACGTCTTTTCTTATCCATTTTAACAGTTTTGACATAATTATTGCACTACTAAACTCAATTTTAAAACTGGTCTGAACAATAATCGGTAAGTGGATACTGTATATTTACTCGCTACACGACTAAATTACTAGCGGTGTCTGAACTAGGCTTATGCTGCATTGAAACTTTATTGTTTATTATGGGTAGTCTCCAGGCAACAGTGGCGCATCTAGAGTCTGGGAGTGATAGTACCGTACTGGCAATATTTAAATATTAGAGTTTTATAAGCTTTCGCTGAAAGGTATTGTGACTGTGGAAAAAATATACTTTTATTGGTTGGATTTTCTCTCGTTGATGAGGACACATTGCTCGAATGTTTTCTTCTTTAGATAAAATGGCATTTTAGATTTGAATATGATTGAGTTTCTTCCATGCTAACTTATTTTTGTTGATTTCTGGTAGTAGAGATCCCGAATTGTGTATTAGTTGTCCCAAATATATGTTTTCTTCTACTATTTCCACTTTTGTGTTATTTATAAGAATGTCTTTTCTGTCTACTAGTTCGTTGTACATATTTTAGTTATTGTTAAATTCATTTTGAGATCTACTTTATTGTTAACTGTATTTAGTTCGTTAATTTGTGTTTGTATTTCTTCAGGACTATTGGCTATTAGGACTATGTCATCAGCGAATCTTCGATGGTTAAGATATTCTCCATCTATTTTTAATCTTTTGTTGGTCCAGTCTAGTTGCCGGAAGATTTCTTCTAGTATTGCTGTAAACAGCTTTGGGGATACTGCGTCTCCCTGTCGTACTCCTACTACTTTGCCATTTGGGAACTCTGGGGTTGTTTTTTATATCATTACTCTTGCTTTGGCTTCTTTGTATATATTGGCGAGAGTTTCTGTGTAAGACCTGTCAATACCTTGATTCGCTAGGGTTTCTATTATTGTCTTAGAATCTATCGAGTCGAAAGCCTTCTCAAAGTCTATAAAGGCTATGGCTAGTGGAAGTTCGTATTCTTTTGTTCGGATGATAGTTTCTCTTACCGTATGCATGTCATCTGTCATCAATCGTACTGAAGCCGATTCTACAGCCTCCTTGTTCTCGCGGTTGGCGTCTTTTAAATTATGTTGTTTATTATTTTCGTGAATATCTTGTATATTACGGATAGTATAATTTATATTTATACCTAATTCGTTCCATTCTATCTATTTTTACGTGTATTGGCGCTAATTATTGAATAACTTTGGAGAGATGGTGTTGCCTTGGAGAACGCCTTTTGTATGTGAAAGTTGTTAGCATCTTCATAAAGCCTAACACAAGCTGTAGCGTTCTCATATACCGGGTGTATACCAACTTTTTTATTTTTACAGATAAATAAACGAGATTTGGTATGTCATTATATGACATAAATTAGGATTGATTGACGTATTCAATTATTTTTGGTCACTTCCTGTTTCATCGGAAATGACTACAACTTTTGATTTTTAAATGGCACCCTCAGTATTTGTTTACTTTATTCGATAGAAAATGACGTTCTGAATAGAATGAAATATCATATGTCAACTTTTGACATTCTTGCTTAATAAAAAATCCTATTTTAAATTTCAATCTAGAGTGCCATGGCTATGTTAAAAACACTAATTCTTAATCAAGGAGCCTTTTGGAAAAATAGATGTGAAATAGTTTGATAACACACACTAGGTATTTCGAGTCAAATTTTCATTACGAACCGCAAGTTATAATTTCAAATAAACCATATGCGAAAATGTTAAAAGTTGACATATGATATGTCATTCTATTCTATCGAATGTTAATTCTATCGAATAAAGTAAAAAAATATCTAGGGTACTATTTACAAATCAAAAGTTGTAGTCATTTCCGGTGAAACAGGAAGTGACCAAAAACAATTGAATACGTCAATCAATCCTAATTTATGTCATATACTAACAACATACCGAATCTCGTTTTTTATCTGAAAAAATAAAAAAGTTATAGAGGTGAGACACTTTTGAGACGCACTCAGTATATGTTTAATCATTGTGATATGATTAAAACCGATGATCTATACAAGAATCAGCTATCAGCTAGGGATTTTAACATTCTTTGTAGGTTGATGATAATTTTACAGTACCTGATAAATAAAATATTTATGTATATTTGGATTATAAAATTTGACTAGATATTTGTCGAATAAGAGTTTTGATTTACCATAACAGGTAATCACTAGTGTAAATGTAATAAACTCATACATTTGTAAAAACTTAAATAGCAGAGCCTTACTAGGAAGATAATTTTCCAACATGTACGTCCAACTAGGGATTCCAAATCGGGATCCCGTTGTATTTTTAATCTATATTGCCGTGTTTGCTATATTTTGTTATTTTTTTCAACAAGAATTGATTTTTTTTAATCACTAAATATGAATGCTACTTTGTTTTAATAAATCTTTTTTCTCATTTTCTTTTTAATATAATGTAGCTGCATATTTATCAAGTATTCTCTTTTATGCTCAAAAATTATATTTTTGGTGTACAAAAAAAATTGTGTTGTATCTCTTAATTTACATTCAGCCGATACAGAAATGATTTCTACACAAGAGCAAAGTACAAGAGTAACCGCATCACATTTTTGGCGATTTGACCCTGTAAAATTTATTTTTTAAGCAAAAACTGAGCGTTGTACA